ATTTCTTTAGTTAGGAGAAAAGCACAACGAGTGCAACAGCAGCAGCACTATTTAAACCCTAGCAGCAGCTGCAGCAGCTGCTGCAGCAGCAGCAGCTGCAGCAGCAGCTGCAGCAGCAGCTTTAGCAACAGCAGGAGGAGCCCCATAGCCCCTGAGAGAGCAGCAATGCTAGCACAATCTGCAGCAGCATCAGCAGCAGCAGAAGCAGCAGCAGCAGCAGCAGCAGCAGCAGCAGCAGCAGCAGCAGCAGTCTGTAGTATGATATAAACACTGAAGCAGCACAGTGTTTATGGTGGGTAGATGCCTCAGCAGCAGAAAGAGCAAATATAAAAAAAACAAAAAAATAAATTAAATTAAAGTTCGTTAATACCAAGCAAAAAGCTGCTACTGTAATGTATTAAATACTCCACTGCTGCTGCTGCTGCTGCTGCTGCTGTTGCTGTTGCTGCTGCAGTGCTGTCAGCCACTCTGTCTCTCTTTCTTTTTTTCCTTGTTTTGTTTTTATTTATTCTTTTTATAATATATCCTATTGCTACTTATTGCTATTAAAAAAACTAAAATAAATAAAAAAGAGACAAACACAAAAACAAGTCGAAGCATAACGCAGCACAGTCCCCTTCAGCGCCAGACAAACAAACAATTCCGCATGAGCTGCTGCTGCTGCAGCTGCTGCTGCTGCTGCAGCAGCTGCAGCAGCTGCAGCAGCAGCAGCAACTGGAGCCTCTACAGCAGCTGCAGCAACTGGAGCAGCTGCAGCAGCTGCAGCAGCAGCAGCAACTGGAGCAACTGCAGCAGCTGCAGCAGCTGCAGCAGCTGCAGCAACTGCAGTGGCTCAGTACTTCTTTTCTATTTTTGTTTTGTTTTAAAGAGAACAAAGTAGCGATGTAAACAGAAAGTGAAGTGCTGCGCTGGGGAAGAAGCGGAAATAGGCTTCTCGCTGCTGTGGGGTGTCTGTACACCTCAGGGTTGCTGCTGCAGGAATCACTGTAGCTGCAGCAGCAACCGAAGCCAGCCTGCTGCAGCAGCTGCAGCAGCTGCAGCAGCTGCAGCAGCAGCAGTGGCTAGTGGTAATTACTACAGCCAAAGCAGCAGCAACAAATATCTCTGCTTTTTGCTCTTGCTGTTTGGGGTGTATATGCAGCTACACTTCTTCCTGAGAAGCCATGCGGTATATGTCTGTCACCACGAGATTCGCAGCAGCATCCTGCTGCTGCTGCTGCTGCTGCTGCTGCTGCTGCTGTGAGTGCTGTTCCTTCTCCTGCTGCAGCTGCAGCACCTGCTGCTGCTGCTGCTGCTGCTGCTGCTGCTGCTGCTTGTCGCATCCTTCCTTCCCTGCACAGAACTCTCTTAGACTTTCTTCACCGCCAGCAGCAGAAGTGCAGATGGCGCAGCGGAGGTCTTTCTCTGCTACCGCCTGCAGCAGCACCTCAAACCCTAAACCCTAAACCCTAAACCCTAAATTTTAAAGAGAACCCAACCCGGAACCGCACAGTTAATACCCTAAACCCTAAACCCTAAACCCTAAACCCTAGAGATACCCCAAACCGAAACCACAATTTCAAGGATGCACTTGTAGAGGGACTGCTTAGTGGCGCAGCACCTTAAACCCTAAACCCTAAACCCTAAACCCTAAACCCTAAACCCTAAACCCTTGCAGCGAGAGAAAGAGAAAGGAAAAAAAGAAAATAAAAACTCACAGAGTGTTGCTTGTCTACAGTTATCCAGGGTACATGGTCGTGTTCAGGTGTCTGCTCAGCCATCATATGCTGCACTCTTTCTCCCTGTATATGC